GAGAGAGGGTAATGTTGTGTGGACGTGGGCAAGTCCACACAACGTCGCTGCTACCCGGTTCATGTGGACCTCTTTTGTTCGGAAGTCCACACTATGTAGTTGTTCACCCATCCATAGTTTGAGGTAGTTTTTACCTTCCCAACAAGTGTAAAAAAAAATGGGGGGGGGATTAACAAAAGCTTTAAAAGTGCTGTTTTGATGCAAGCTTAATGTTCGTAATATGTTACTGTATCATGAACAGCGCCCTGGTCTAATGTGGTGTCCAGCAAGTGTAATGTGGTGTCCAGCAAGGCTCTTTCACATCCTTTGGAATTTGCACGGCTGGGCAATTTTTGATTTCGATTGTCTTCCAGCGCCCACCCAACTCCACGGCGCAGATTTACACCTCAGACTTTGTGGACTGGTGATAAGACAAGAGCTTGGGAACTTGAGAATAATTTTTAAATTTTCACAAAATATTTGGTCTTAAGTAATTGCCAACTTTTCTAGCGCACTTTAAGTTTTTCTTGGTAAAACTAGGATGCAGTTAAAAATTGCAGTGACATTTTTATGGGCCTACTTTAACAAATACATACATGTAGGGCCTACAAGGGGTTGAGAGGATAACTTCTTGCTGCAAATGCTGTATCATGTATCTGAAATTAAAAATAAAAACTCACACACATAAATGATTAAAATGTTACATAAACAGGCTCCAGGTTTTTAAAAAATATGTTCTCTTTTTATCTAAACTTTAGACAGCTGATTAACTTGTAAGAAAATTCAACAGTCTAAGCTGCTTGTACTGAGTCATAGCCTTAATGACCGTTTATACAGCGTGTCTAAAAAAAAAAGGTAATCCAATTGAAAGGGTTATTATGGCCAGACTATTTGTTTACAAGCAAGAAATAGGGTATCATCGTAAAGCTGAAGCTGTGCGCTTTTCAATGATACCTTTGGTTACGTTCAAGAGTCACGCATCATGGAGCACCATTGTCTTGAAGTTGTGGTGTAAACATTGCAGTTGGTTAACTTTCCTGCTGAACAAAATCGACACAATTCATGTTTTTATTCATGTTTTTATTCATGAATTTTATTAATGGATTTTATTCACGATCAAAACACTTAACAGCAGAAGTTTCTGATGTTCTCACATTGGCTAAGACCCTCCCTCCGCTGTCGTACGCAGCGATGATTTCCTGGGATATGGCTGTCCTTGGCCTTTCTGAACGTCCTTTGTTGTGGTTAAGGCTGGTTCCAAGTGCTTCACACTTTCCCACATTGGCCAAGATTGTTTTCTTTGCTGGTGGTTCTCAGTCTGGGAATGCTTCTCCAACGGCATCCTGTGCTGTGAGCCTGCAAACTTCTTGATCCATGCAATTTCTTGACCACAGAGATTCTCTGTTCTGATGTTAGTTGAACCATTGTGGCAACCTGAGGTTTACACACTGGCCGAAGGCCAGAATGACATGGGCTCAAAAGTGAACCAACTGCATTTTAAACCACAACTTTAAGACAATGGTGCTCCATGATGCGTGACTCTGGAATGTAACCCAAGGTATCACTGAAAATCGCACAGCTTCAGCTTTAAGATGATACCTTGCTTTTTGCGTGAAAACAAATAGTCTGGCCATAATAACCCTTTCAAGTTGGATTACCTTTTTTTTTTTAGACACCTTGTAGTTATCACTGACAATGGGAACAGTCTTCTCAGCATACTATATCATAAAACTGTAGACTTACCGCATACACAAACGGCTTATGAGCGTGTTGACAAAGTTCAACGAATATGTTGCATATCGTACAGGGCAAGTAAAAAAAACAAAAAAAACAACCGAAACCCACATGTCGGGACCATTGTTTTAGTGAAGTTCTGCATGTAGCACTGTCAAAATCTAGAATATAAAGGCCAAATTCATGAGCTTTATTTTAGTAAAAAAATCATTTAATTTACTCACTTTCCAAGTTACGGACTGATATACACGGACTTATAAACACAACCACCTTTTTAAAGTTTTGTCCACTGATCACAAAAAGGTACGTTTTCTTTCAGTAGAACAAAAACAAATCACGTAGGGATGTGTGTTGAATTGTTTTCGGTTTGCTGGAAGAACGCACACCTTTTGTTAGATCCGTGGATAGAACTTTAAGATGGTTGTTTTAAAATTCCGTTACTTCAAAAGTTCGTACGTAATTTGAATGATTCTTGCATAAAAGAAAGCTTATGAATTGAGCTTTCATATCCTAGATTCGAAAGTGCTACATGCGGAATTAAATCCGACATTGGGTTTCGTGTTTTTGACTCCCCCTGTATAGTTAAGAGCTCATTGTCATGATGTTCAACCATCCATATATAACCATATACAGGAAAGCTGTAGTCCTTCTTTAGTTTTTAAAAAGTAATACCGCGGTTTTCGGGTGAAGGAAAATTACAGGTAATATAAAATACTGTGTTAAAACCGCAGTCCTACTTTAGTATTTAAAACTGAAAATATATATTTTTCATATGAAGTAAACCTACCGTAAACCTTACATATACAGCACGATATGAGACGGAGGGACTGCCCCCCCCCCCCCTCCTAAGGGTTGGTCATTGTGTTACCAGAACTCAGGAATTCTTTGGAGATATCTAAGAGATGTGTTAGGTAACAATAGTCTAGGGTTTGCATAGGGTATAGCGAGATTGGGGGATACCAGTTCGTTTCAAATCATGCTGGGTATAAAATTCAATAAGTTAATGCATATTTACTGTAAATGTCCTACAATTTTACTATACTAACTACTTTAGTCAAATCATATACATTACACGAAAAGTTACATTTATTATACTTATTAAGATTGCAAACTTCGACAAACTACAGTGAAACTACATATTTATTATTGTAAAACTATAGTGGATTTGTATTTATGCATGCATAAATACCTCTTGGGGCTAAAATACACGTAAAGAAAAGTAAGAATTGTACGCATGGGCAAAATACTTATCGCAGCATTTTATGAGCGCGATAATATTTAATTTCATAATATTTATTTTTTGGCAATATTAAAACGTTAATATCATAATTACTCATTGTACACGCATGTAATGTCATAACGTTTGCCTTGTGAAAAAAAATTGGTCTTTTGTGCTGAGTTTCTGATTGAACGGGGTTGACCGTGCCATTAGAAATGTATTCTGTATGTCTAGGGAATTTCGTACTGGATGGAGATATTTTGTACTGATTGACAGAGTTTTGATAAACTAACACCTTGGAGAAATACAAATTCATTATAATAAAATGCGCATTTTTTATTCCTCCATATGCTGATACCAGCTGGGCAAACTCCAATATTTTGGCATTTGCCCTGATTAATTATTAGTGTGTTGACGCACTTTATCACGAATTATCTTAATAATGCTTTTATTGCAATTTACGCCAGTACCAACCTCGCTTATGCGATTCACAGAAGAGATCACAGGGGAATAATTTTTTTTAAAGGTTTATAAATCACGAGTATTTTAATTTGTACCTCAATTTTGTGAAGGTTTTTAACTGCCCTTTGTACATTTGTATCCAAGACTAAAAGAAAACAATATCTCAAACTGGTGGATACTCTATAGCCTGAATTTGTGTCAAAATATGTGTTTGCCTTCTCCTTCTAGGGCGTAGAAAGGCTGGCAAAAAGAAAAAAAAACAGGTCATGCACTGATTACATGGTTCGACCTTAACTTCTTTGTTTACTAGCCAGCCGGGCTACTTAAACGGACTCGTAACTAGCCCGCGAGCAATTTCAATACCCGCATTTTTTTTTTATCTTTTCTTTATAGAGTGTGGTATAACAACAAACGGTATACATGTAAACGTGTCTAGAGCCTGAAAGTTGACCCCTGACGGCGCGCTTCAGAGCCTTCGAAAAGGAAAATAAATGTGTAAAAGTCAATGTTTATGACATTTTGGTACGGTACACTGATTTCATCAGAAAATTACCCTCGGAATGTATGGGAACTAAAAAATCGCATGACGTGAAAGAGAAGTATCGTGTCGAAAATTGACCTCTCACATCCGCTTTCGTATGGACTCGTGAACATTTATATAGCCGACTACAGCTATAGACTTGCGTTGTCATATGGTTGTGAAGAAAATTGTCCCTTGGTACAATATACGCTTCCTTTAAGTCTTTATTTACAGTTCGATCAAGTAGAATCAATTGCAGAAATGAGGTTTTGATGTACAGATGTAGGATGGAAGTAATGAAGTACGGAAGTATGGAAATACTGTAGGAAGGAAGGTTTTGCTGAAAAACAAAATATAAGGGGAAATTATAAACTAATACAAACGGTAGAATAACGTAAATTGGTTACACAAAAAAGAAAATAAATAATTAGATATTAAACTAGTAATAATTAAACTATAAGATAAATGAAGAAAAACTATGTACTTACTACGCTGGGAGTGTTGCTAAAATCGGGTGTCTAACTGTGTGCAAATCTAACGGTCTATAAAACTAACGGTGTATAAAAACAGGTGTTGTAGGTTTGGACACTAGCAACAGAATGATAGGAAAATGGGCTAAAAATATGGTCAATGCACAAACAGTGTCCTAACAGGGTGAATTATGGCACCTTAGGGAATGTTTTGGTCTGGAGTTGGGAGAGGTTGCTATGGGGACCGCCACCCAGGCCTGGCAGAGTTGGGCAAAACAAGGTCGTACAGGGATCGGGGACTGTGGTCAAGGGATCTTACACTAAATGGTACATCTAAATTGTACATGTACATGGTCTAAGCTAGATAATGAGGATAAAATATTTTTCTAAACCTAGAGATGATTAAATGACATTAATTAAAGACAAATTAATAAGAAAAGGTAAATAATACACAACGTCCGCTACACCGACCCCGATGACATATCTGACTGTGTCATCCACGAAATTTAAGGACAGTTGTGCTCTAAATCTCCCTATAAAATACTAACAGATTTAAGATGAAGAAGATTAGTTCCTAAATGTAAGGAAACTTAAGCTGATTAGCTTCCACTAATAACTAAGTGTTATCATTATCGTCCTCATCCTGGCTGGTATCAGTCGCTGCAGCTAATGGTGTCAACTCGGCTTCAAGAAGACAGATCTTGTCAGTCGGTCTAACATACACTCCGGCTTGGGTTTTGACTCGCACGGAGCGGACATATCCGTCTTTCCCTGGGTGCGTGGCCACCATAAGACCCAAAGGCCATTTGCTGCGTGGGATGCTCTCGTGACGGATTAAAACAAGGTCTCCAACCTGAAGATTTCTTTGCGGATGTAGCCACTTCTGGCGCTGCTGCAGTGATGGGAGGTATTCCTTAAACCATCGGATCCAGAAGACATCAGCGAGGTACTGGACCTGGCGCCAGCGTCTCTTATAGAGATCCTTGGTATCGAAGTGTTTAGGTGGTAGGGTCTGACCAGATCGAAGGAGTAACAGGTGGTTGGGTGTGAGAGGTGAGGCATCTTGGGATCATCTGAAAGCTTTGTGATGGGACGTCCGTTTACAATTCCCTCAACAATACACATCAGAGTGTTTAGTCCTTCGTCATCAGTCAGCTTCTGGTGAAGGAGACTTCCTAGGATAGAGCAAATGGTCCGTGTCTGTCGTTCCCAAACTCCACCCATGTGTGAAGCGGCTGGTGGATTAAAATTCCATTGGACTTCTCGCTGGTGCAGGTAGCTCCCTATTTGGTGCTGATTCCAGTCTTGTAGAGCACGACGAAGTTCGCGTTGCGCTCCTACGAAGTTGGTCCCATTATCCGAGCGGATTTGGGCTGGCTGTCCCCGGCGATTTATACAGCGCTGCAGTGCGTTTATGAAGGAATCCGTCTCTAGGCTCTGGCAGACCTCTATGTGGATGGCTCTGGTGGTGAGGCAAGTGAATAAGCAACCATATCGCTTCAACTCACTGCGGACTCTTTTTTTTACCATGAAAGGGCCAAAGTAATCAACACCTATGGTGCTGAATGGTGCTGCTCGATCCTTGGGCAGGTCCGCCATCACTTGGGTTTCAGGGGTTGCCTTCCTCTTCTTGCATTCTAGGCAGCGGAGAAGAACGCGCTTAACGGCAATGCGCCCCTTTACGTACTTCTGGCGCAGCTCAGCGAGGTTCCTTTCGCCACCAGAATGTCCATACTGATGATGGTATTGCTGAATGATGAGCTCGGTCACTCGGTGTTTATTTGGCATGATCCATGGGTGTTTAGCTTGGTGTGGTATGTTGGCATTTGTCAGGCGTCCACCAACACATGACTCCGCTATTCGAGGTTATGGGGGACAACCTTTGAAGGCGATTTGACTTTAGGTGCTCCTTGTTGAACGCAGTGTGCTGAGTGTGGCTCACCATTGCAGCTTCGGCATCTTGGAGTTCCTTAACTGACAGAGACTTGCCAGCTAGGGTGGTTGTGTCAGTCAGCTTGAGAGCTCTCTTGCGCAACAACTGTTTCACACGGAGGACCCAAGCCACTGCTCTTTTCAGAGCGTACCAGGATGAGTAGCGGCCAATCAAGTCATCCATAGGATCGGACATTGGTGTGGTGTTGGTACTGGTCGCGTATACCAGTGGTTCCTTCTTAACCTCAGCCTCTTCTTGCAGTTGAAGGGACTTGAAGTCTGGTTGAACTGGCCAGGCATCTTCCTCTTTCAGTAGAAAGGCTGGAACATTCAACCAGCGTTCACAGTCGATGAGTTGTTGGGCTGCCATTCTCCTTGATACGTCATCTGCTGGATTTGAGGCAGAATCAACATAGAAGTTTTGATCTATGGTCTCAATGGTGGCGGTGTCGTATAACGAATGGTAATCTTGTGCTTCACGTACGCTTCAAGGTGAAGTTAGCACAACTTGGACTCCAAACCCCTCCGAATAAGTGAGCTGTCATCCGGTACATCAGTGGTTGGGACTCAATATCGTCTCCCTTCCACCAAAGGAAACGAAGGGCGTCTCGGTCAGCCATGGACACACAAACCTGATGAAACATGCCTTCAATGTCGGCCATGAGAGCTATGCGTTCTTGTCTGAAACGCAGAAGAACTCCGATCAGCTTGTTCGTCAGGTCAGGTCCTTGATAGACGGTATCATTAAGTGAGGTACCTTGGTACCGGGCGGCGCAGTCATATACAATGCAAACCTTGTCTGGTTTACGCAGGTTGATCACAGGATGATGTGGGAGGTACCAGACACAGCCATCTCTTCGATCAATGTCCTCCGCAGGAACTGGCTCTGCATATCCCTTTTTGAAGGAGATCATGGATGCCGCTGGTGTACTTCTCCTTGAGTGCGGGATCCTTGGAAAGACGCTTACCCAACAATTTAAGTCGGTGTTCTGCCATCAACCTGTCATTGGGCAAATGTGGTAGTCTTTCCTTGAATGGAATGTCCATGGTGTAGTTTACTCTGTCACGGTGCAGTGAGTTCTCCCAAATTGAAAGAACTTTCTTTTGGCTGACAGACATCGTCTTGTTGTCACTGCCCACAGTTTGCAGGTCATCAATCCTCCAAAATCTTTCAACCTGGCGTTGAAGATACATGTCTGGTTTGACGAAGTAGGAGGATGAAGACTTAGGCCTCTTCTGGTGTGTTACTGGACCATTTAGGGTCCATCCCAAAGCGGTCTTGGTAGCATACGGTTCGCCTTTTGAGCCAGCGCGAACCACCCTAGGTAAGAAGATGTACATCGTCAATGTCGACATCTGGTATCGGTAAATCACTGAGGTGTGGCCAGAGGCTCAGGTCTTCTTGAACGGCAAGACTGTCGAGGCCGAAGTTCAGCTGGGGCCTCGTAAGAACATCAGACAACGAAAATAGGTGGGTGTCATCAAGGTCGGCCACCTCGAGGTGGACGACACTGGTGTGTACTTGAACTTCTTTCTGGTCAAGTGTAGTGAGTCTGATGGTGTCCTCCTTGCCGTAGATGCCTAGGCGTCGTGTCAAATCCTCTGAGCAGAAGCTCTGCATGGAACCGGTATCTAAGAGAGCATAGGTTTTCACAAACTGCTGTTCCCCGCGACCTCCGACCTTAACGGGAACTATGGGTAGTGCAATCTTTCCAGCGCCGACCCCAGTGGAGTTACAGACAATTATGGGATTGTCTGCGGGTTGAGCTTGGGATGAGCTTGAAGACCCACCCGTTGTAGATTGGCCATTGTCGGTGGCCCCGGAGGAACGTGGGTCGTTTTGCGGGCGTGGGAGGTGCAGGTACCTGTTGTGCTTTTTGCCGCATCCTTGGATTGAGCACACAAAGGGTCGTGGGCAGTCCTTACCCAAATGTCCAGGTTTGTAGCAGTTGACACAGAGTCTCTTGCCCTGCACAAAGGCAAGCCGGTCCTTAACTCTGAGTGACTTGAATGTGTTGCATTGGTTGAGGTGGTGGTTTTGTCCGCAAGTGGGGCAGGGATCAAGAGGGAGTGAGGTTGGCTTTGGTTTGGGCTTGTCATTAGGGCTTGTCACTGCAGATGTGGTTTGGACGCCAAAATTCGTCCGTCGGTCACTTGACTTGTTAACCTTTGGCTTGGTGTCTCCTCTGGTTAATCCTCTCTGGATGATTTTGCCAAAGACTGGGTCTCCAACCTCCTCGGCTGCCGTTGTCACAAACTGCGTGACGTCATCAATATCTGGGATTTGGTGCTCTTTGTTTTGTGTACCTCTCGTAGCCATCTGGTTTTCAGGTGGTATGCATGGTAGCTTGTCAACGATGAGGAGTAGGCTGCTTCTGTTGTTTAATTCGTTGATGTACCCCATGGTGTCAAGTGTCTCACGACAGCATCGCAAATCATCTGCGAGATCTTGCAGGTATTGGTTGTCTGTGACATTGGGCCTCATTGTCACCTTGTCAATCCATGATTGTGATATGGTGTGCTCATCGCCGTATCTCTCCTTGAGGAGACGGAGCGGGAGAGTATAACCCTCTGAGGGTTCCTTTCGATGCAATACTGGAGCAGATGTGTCAATTTGGCACCGTCACTTACTGTCTCCCTTGCAACGGTGTTCTGGAACTCACGGATGAATGTCCACTACTTAAGTGGATCGCCATCGAATGTTGTGAGTTCTGCCTTGGGAAGCTGAAGTGCCTCCACCAGGGATTGCTGATGAACGCGCGTGTCTCTGATCAGTTTGTGTAGTAGGTATCACATGTCGGGTTGCAATTGGTTTGATGGAGCAGCAGCGGGTGTGGGAATGGAGAATGGTGTTGGTACATAACTGGGCTGAGTAGACTGCAATGGGGTATGCTCATGTTCCAAAGGGCGCTTCGGTGTAGGTTTGTGTGTAGGGTTTGTATTGAAGCACACTTCTGAATTTGCCTCCTCAGCTTCAGCATATGTCCTTGCAAGAGCATCGGCTCTGGCATATTTCACCTTTAGCTCAATTTCTCGTCTTCTCTGCTCCAATTTGAGATGGCGCTGCTGGGTTTCGATTTGAACTTGAAGAGTTTCAAATTCAAGGGCATTCTGCTCCTCCATGGCCTTGGCCTCTGCCTCAAGTGCAGCCTGTTCTGTCTTGGCTTTGATGTGGGCACTGGAGGTCGATGACTTCACTGATGAAGTAGTTGATCCGGCATGGAAGAGTTGGTGTAAATGGTAACCATGCTGGCTGGCAGAGTCACCGACATTGATACCGTCGACTCCCTCATGATCCACTGTAGGTTCTCCAACGCCATCGTTCTCATTATTGATGTTATCCATCACGGAAAAGTTTTATAGAAATTCCAGAGATCGTACAAAACTTATATAGCCGACTACAGCTACAGACTTGCGTTGTCATATGGTTGTGAAGAAAATTGTCCCATGATACAATATACGCTTCCTTTAAGTCTTTTTTACAGCTCGATCAAGTAGAATCAATTGCAGAAATGAGGTTTTGATGTACAGATGTAGGATGGAAGTAATGAAGTACGGAAGATACGGAAGTACGGTAGGAAGGAAGGAAGGTTTTGCTGAAAAACAATAAAATATGAGGGGAAATTATAAACTAATACAAACGGTAGAATAAAGTAAATTGGGTACAAAAAAAGGAAATAAATAATTAGATATTAAACTAGTAATAATTAAACTATAAGATAAATGAAGAAAAACTATGTACTTACTACGCTGGGGGTGTTGCCAAAATCGGGTGTCTAAATGTGTGCAAATGTAACGGTGTGTAAAACTAACGGTGTATAAAAACAGGTGTTGTAGGTTTGGACACTAGCAACAGAATGATGGGAAAATGGGCTAAAACTATGGTCAATGTACAGACAGTGTCCTAACAGGGTGAATTATGGCGCCTTAGGGAATGTTTTGGTCTGGAGTTGGGAGAGGTTGCTATGGGAACCGCCACCCAGGCCTGGCAGGGATCGGGGACTGTGGTCAAGGGATCTTACACTAAATTGTACATCTAAATTGTACATGTACATGGTCTAAGCTAGATAATGAGAATAAAATATTTTCTAAACCTAGAGATGATTAAATGGCATTAATTAAAGACACATTAATAAGAAAAGGTAAATAATACACAACGTCCGCTACAATTTATGAAATAATTTTGTGGCGGTTATTGGGTAAAATCTTCAACTTAAACAGGAGACTTAATGTCTTTTGGGAAAGACTTTTTAAAATTAACCTGAAGGATTGGTTTAATTCACAAACATATCTAAAATTACCGTTGATGAGAACGGTCTTAAAACGTGATCCAAACGAGCCTAAATAAATACACAGAATCGGATGTACGTAGCTATAAATGTTTGTGTCGTTATCATGTTCGTTCTCACGCAAGTACGTGATATGAAGACAGACTTGATCCAACAAGGCGAACTTGGAAAGGAAATAAGTTGAAAGTAAATGATTTCGTTTTTGTTTTTGCAGTGGTGTTTCCAAGAACTACCAGGGTCTGGCTGCGTCCTCTGGTAATCTCTACGTCTTCCATCGCAACACTTTCAAGAATCATCAGGTTTTCTCGAACACGTACGGTAAGTCAAGTTTGAAGCATCATGAACAGTACATTAGATGTGTATATTTGTGATTATGCATTCACAAGTCACTGTGACTATACTTTCACATTGTATGCACTCCTGAGTTTCTCCTTATAGTATGCACCAACCCAAAACATCTTCGTGTGATGAGCTAAAGTCCGGCCTCATCAGCAATTCATTCGAATGTCCCCGATCTAGCTAGAAGTTGTCATGGTTTTATAATTGATAACCCGCCGCCGCAAAATA